TTAGAAGCTGAACAAGTCTGTTGCGGGTGCAAGACTTAGAAACCCCCAAACTTGTAACGTTAAACTGCGAGAGTTCAGTCATACTTGATGTTTCATTCAGGCCTCATTCATATGTGGAAATAAATCTGATATGAATCAGATAACGTGCATTTGCACCTGCCGTGCAACGTCCAGCGGACAGATCGGACATTCCCCTGTCAATGCGAATCGTATGTCATTAAAAAAAGTGTCTTTTTAAAACATTTTGCGGTACAGATCTATAACAAATGAAACAACTCTAGATGAATAACAGAGTATTAATTTCGTTCGTTTGTGTTAAATAAAAGGCGAACTGTGCTGAAATGTGTTGCTTTTGAAAGCAGGCTTTGTTTGCTGTTGCTGCTGTCAGTTTATTGACAAGCAGTTTCTCTAAACTGGCTAGCATTGTTATTTAGTCTCTCCCGATAGAACCCCTTTCATTTCTCTTCCTTCTCCATATCTTCCAAAGAAACTGCCGCGTATCGGTCAAATGTAAAATGTAAACAAATACTAAGCTGCGCTGTCTCTCTTTCGCTATTTCTGGAATGTTTAGTCGCGCCTCTGTGAAGTTCTGAAGGCGTTGCCCCTGGCAACCGATAGCGTCTCCTACCATCATGGCCGACCGGCTCAGACCCCGCCCAAATCGGCACGTGACTCCTCATTCTCAAAAGTATTTTAGTCATGTAGGCTACTTTAAGCTGAGGGGTAAAAAATACAACACATCAATAGGATTAACATAAAGTGATGATCCTGTGTTTGTCTGACACTAATGACATGCTTGATGTGCCAATTTACAGAAGATCTCAGACATCAGCATAATGAATGAGGTGAAAACAGGGACTACTGAACGAGATAAAGATGCTTTTCAGCAGCTCAGTTAAACGTTATGGCTCAGTCATTTTGTTTGTTAGACTCTTAATTTGCTATTTTTTAGTTACATGTTTTGTTGTTGTTGTTTTTGTTATGCCCAATTCACATCAATCCTTAAAAAATACTTAATTCATGAGGTTCGTTCAAAAACGCTCATATACATCCAGTAATGGAACAACAAGTGATTGAGTCATTGAATCAATCATTCAAAACTATTTAGAAAAATAATTTAAAATATTTAGTCTATAACGACTGTATTGCAACAATTGGCTTTTTGTCAGAGCATCTAGTAAATTACATGTTATTTGGTTTAATTGTATATTCAGAATAGTGGTTTCTATTTTAAACAAAACATGATTCTTAATGTATCCAGAATACAGCTAACTTGAAAGGGTGCCATTACTTTGACAATACAAATGTACAAATATTTGTCACACCAATAAAGAACCTGCAAACAAACTCACTGGATGATGGATATGCTTTGCTCACTGTGACACTTGGACAACGCTCCTTTATATGATTCACTGCTTCTCTCCAGTATGAACTCGCTCGTGTGATTCCAGTGCAGACAAACCTTATTCACGATATGAGGGCTTGCACTCTGGAGCTGGTTAATGTTAAACTCTGTAATCTGGGAACATCTCTCACCTGCAGACTAGAAATATACTGCATCCGGAGAAAATATTCCACATTTGTCCTTCATTCACGATCGTTAACAGCGTCACTTTCAGCCTCAACTAGTGAAAGCGTCTTCCGCGCAGGCGCAGTGCGCGATGTGATGTTTCTTAAAGGGGCCGCATGTTATACCTTTGTTTTCAAAGTGTTATTTCATTCATAAGGCAATAGTCAGGGATAGTAAGGCAAACGATTTGCCCGCTTTTTAAAGTAAGATTAACTAATTACAAATAGCAGTTTGAACACTTTGCTATAATTCTATAAATCTATGGCTGCTACTAGTCAATCATTATCAACAAAATCTATATTGAATGCAAACAGGTAAAAGTGAAGCCACTACCGGACAGAGTCAGTCTAGACCAATGGAGAGTCCTGCTGTGTTCAAAACACACATGATTTCTCTCATGGTTCTCTCACTTGTTTTCAGTTTAAACAATCACAGTTAAACGCTTTTTGTCAAGACAAGATGTTTTTTCTGTTTATTATCATAACTGCATGTACTATCAGAAGACAATATAGTAAACTTAGTAAATAAGTATTGTCATAGGTCTTTTCCCTAAACCTAACAACCCACCTATAATACCTATACTCTAGCGCGCCTATATATTAACGTTAGCTAAGTTCACACTTCAGCGCCCCTCCAATCGACTACAGCCGAGTCTAATCCTATAATTCCAATTTACTTGTTTTCTTGCTTACTTGCTAACTAACTTACTTGCTTCCCTAAACTGACCTGCTGCGCAGCAGTAATAACAGACAGACCTCAGCAAATGCCCTCTAAATGCTTTAATAACGGCCGGGAGATATTCACGAGCAGTTCTCAGGAAATCTCCCAAAAAGAAGCAATAAGCAAGGACGTGGATCTCAGACAAATTCCCTTGAGAATCCCACCAGTTTACACAAATTCAACAGTTTTTAAAGAATAGTGGTATGGAAAAATGACATGATACATAACATAATTTCCCTACAATTTGATTGGTTCTTCATATGCAAACTCTTCTGTTACTAGGAAACAGTAAACTCTGTTTTCTTCATTACTTCATAATCACAAGTTTCCAAACCTAGACATTCTGTCTAGTTTCATTTCCCATATTTGTTATTTTTACACTAAACAGGGGTATGGCAACATAGAAACACAGAACAGAACGTTTTAGTACATAGTGTGTTTCAAAGTGTTAGCATGTTAAAGCTGCAGTCCGTAGCTTTTTTTAGGGTCAAAAATGATCCAAAATACATATTTGAGAAAATACATAACCAGCCAGTGTTAAAAACTATCTGCTTGCCGTAGCTCGATTCAAAGCGGTAAGCTTGTAATAATGTTTTTAATTCCAGTGGTACTGGTGGATCTCCGCGGGAGATTCGAGCTTGTCTTTGCGTCATTACGTCACATCTGTACACATAAAGAAGAGTCTCGGCTAGTAGGCTATATTGAGTCATTACGTCACATCTGTACACATAAAGGAGACTCGGCTAGTAGGCTATATTGAGTCATTACGTCACATCTGTGCACATAAAGAAGGAGACTCGGCTAGTAGGCTAAATTGAGTGTGAGGATGCTGGAGGTGGAGATTTATAGCCTTTTCTCACAGCACTTGATATAATTAAACTTATCAATTTGATGGCGGATCCAGAAAGGTTCAAACGACAATCACCAGTTACAACTAGAGATTCACCCGCTGTAAAATGCAAAAGACTTCGTTCGGACTTTCATAGTGGCTAACTTACAGAAAAAGAGACTGCAACCGGACCCATGCGAAAACAAGGATAATATCGGAAGGACATTACATGTAGTCACGCAATCCTGACGTTGTTAACATTAACAATTTGGGAACAAAGTATAATTTGCACGGTTTTGCGTGATATGATAACTTATAAGCGATTGTTAGATTTAATCAGCGCGATTTACTGCAATGTCAGAACCAGAACAAAAGTGGATGTTTCTTACTAGTTCAGATGACATTTTACACTGAATGCCAGTATCCACACCAGCGCGGTGATTGACAGCTGCACACTCTCCTCAAACATTGTGTTCATCCGCGCTGTGCCGTGTCGAGGGTGTTGAAGTACAACTTACGTAAAGTTGATAATTCCGTGAATGACTGCAATTGCAGATTTGGCGACAAAGAGGAAAAACGCCGGACTGCAGCTTTAAAGGTGCTATATGTAACTTTTCTTCTAAAATGAATCCTTTTTTTATTGCCTGTGTGTGAAGGGGTTGTAATCACACATTACAATGATCCACTTGTCGGGTTTTGCTATTACCTCTGAAGGCCAATATTCCTATTTCTATGTGAAGTCTCCGGGTCGTATTTTATGCGAAAGCCATCGGATGTGACGTGCATGCGCGCTCCCGAGCCTCTCTCCTTTTTATATACAGTCTATGCGACCGACGGCACTGCAGCGAACGACATGGAGTCTGATAACACCAAACAACGACCTGCCTCCAGCACAACACACACTCCAACACAAACTCCACATAAATATAAAAAACAAAAATGTATACTGAAATCTCTCAGGCCAAACGTGAATCGGATCGACTTAGGACGAAAACGCGGATCAGCATCGGCAGAGCGTTTGAATTATGGAGAGACCTCCGCTATTTTTATTGTGATAAATTACAAGTTTTCAGATATGCTGAAATAATGGTAAACTGTAATGAAATAGCAAGGTAAACTACAACATACATGAGACATGAAATGAATACAAACGACTATTCCAGGATAACAAAAAGTAGGTGCTTTAGGATGTAACTTGTATTTTATGTACTAGATCTACTGTCTAACGTCACTCATCCCACTACTATCATATTGTTTATAATTTTCAGACATGTTCAGTACAGTAATGTTACTTCCTACGATCTTACTGTTACACTGAAATTGTTCAGTCTAGTTCACTAACCGTTTTCGTTATCACATTATTCATTCATCTATGTTGACATTGCTGATTGTGAAAGATACACGAATAGTTAGTGAAATGCCTTATGCTAGATAACACCACATGTCGGCTAAATGCAGTCAATGTAACGTTATCATGGTATGAGCATGGAGCATTAGTTCAACGTCAAGCTGATAAAAGTAGTCTATTATAACGTTGCAGTGGGAGTTTACATGAGTTTCCAGCATGTTGTGTGATGCTTTCTCCGGTGTGTTGAAAGTCTCAGTGTGGCCGGTACCATGAGTGCTCACTCTTGTGTTCGAGCACGAGCGCTCTTGTAAAAATTGGTTGCAATCTGAAACAACACCAATAGAAGTCGCTAAAAAATACATATAGCACCTTTAATTAAGGTTAGATGTTAGAAACATGGATCGACATAAATAGATCTAATTCAAGATACACAGATTTTGCAACAAAAAAAAAAAAATATATATATATACATACACTTTTGAAGCCTAACCTCTCAAATATTTCTAGTCTTCCATTCATTTCAACAAATAAAAAAATAGACAATCTCAGTATTTTATCTAGCAGATTTTACCTGCATGTATTTGATATAGAATTGAATGTTGATCACTTGCAACAGTTTTTCATGTGAGTTTGAATGTTTGATAAATGTCTGAAACTCTTCCCACACCGAGTACACTGGAATGGCTTCTCTCCAGTATGAACTCGCTCGTGTTCTTTCAGGTGTCCAGACTGAGCGAAACTCTTGTCACAATATGAGCACTTGTAAGGTTTTTCTCCAGAATGAATTCTTTGGTGCCGATTCAGATGATCAGCTCTAGTAAAGCTCTTCCCACAGTCACAACACACATGATCTCTCACTTCATTATGTGTTTTCTGGTGATGTTTTAAACGGTTCAGTCTTGAAAAACTCTGTCCACAGAGAGAACACACATAAGGCTTCTCATCTGAATGAACTTTCAAGTGTGATTTTAGATGTGATGACAAAATAAACTCTTTACCACACTGATCACAGTTAAATGGTTTTTCTCCAGAATGAATGCGCAGATGTTGTCTCAAACCTGTTGAATCTTTGAAACTCTTCTCACACTGAATACAGTAGTACGGCTTCTCTCCAGTATGAACTCGCTTGTGTGATTTCAGAGATCCAGACTGAGTGAAACTCTTGTCACAATATGAGCACTTGTAAGGTTTTTCCCCAGTATGAATTCTTTGGTGCAGTTTAAGTTGGCCAGCTCTAGTAAAGCTCTTCCCACAGTAACAACACACATGATCTTTCACTTCATTATGTGTTTGCTGGTGCAGTTTAAAACCGTTCAGTCTTGAAAAACTCTTTCCACAGAGAGAACACGCATAAGGCCTCTCGTCTGAATGAACTTTCAGGTGTGATTTTAGATTTGATGATGAAATAAACTCTTTACCACACTGATCACAGTTAAATGGTTTTTCTCCAGAGTGAATACGCAGATGAATTTTGAGTATGTATGAAGATATGAAACTCTTTCCACACTGAGTGCATGTATAGGGTTTCTCTCCAGTGTGAATTCTCATGTGCACATTAAGGTTTCGTTGATTTTGGTAACTCTTTCCACACTGTGAGCAGGAGGGCCGCTTTTTGGCTTTTGTTCCTTGAGTTTTGAAGTCACAGTGTTTCTTTACTTCATTCAGTTCTTCTCTTAGCTCTGTTATTCCCATCTGATCTAAAATGAACACATTAAGTAGTTATAATCAGTTTAAGGAGGATAATTTTTAGGAAAATTCAAGTGAACACAAGCAGACAACAAAAGAATAGGTTTCTGTCTGTGTGACTATAAAGTATCAGATCGTTGACGTTGAAGGTTTGTTATATCATTCTCATTAATTTGAATAATATAAATCAATTTGACATTACTTTATACAACATTACGATAATTTAAGGTTAGAATCAATTAGATACATTTCTAAATCATTTATCATCAATGTACTACTTATTTCACAGCCACCAAAGCAGTCAACAATGAAGAATCAAGAATGGACACCAACCTGTTTGTTCCTCAGTATCTTCATGTTTTATTCTGGATGGTTCTGGATCACTCATGTCTTCAATCTCCTCTTTAATAAACTCCATCTTTAACAGTCACACAGATTTCAGCTGCTACTCCTGGAGTTTGTCCTTCTCTTGTAGGATGATGGGAATATTCATTTATTGGTGAATTGTTGTGGGAGGGGCTTCACTGCAGGTGTGAACTGTGATCACTGTGTGATACTGACGCCTACAGGACCAGATCTGGAAAAAAAAATTTTTTTAAAGGAATTTATACTGGATTACTTTAACAGAAAACACATATGATCCATTTTCCCACCCTATTCTATGGCGAGACGAGCTGCTTATATAGGCACATGCCCCGCCCCCTTTGGCAGGCTGTGCGCTCGGTTCAGGATGCGCTCCGATTGGTTTGTGCAGATATGCAGCATCACCATTGGTTCATGCAATTCTCAGCACTGCGTTAATTCACAGGTACAATATGTAGAATTTTTGCAGTAAAATATCCAAAAACCACTAGGCCAAACCACTAGGCCAAAAACGCTCACACTGTTGTTGTTTTGTTCAAACATTATGGACCATGGCAAGTAGGGCTGTGTATCACCAACAATGTCACGATACGCATCGCGATACTAAAGCCACGATACGATACGTATCACAATATCAATTTGGAATTTAAATTTATTTTGAGCTCAGTTTAGTAACAGTAATATCTGTTTATTGAATAACCAATGTTATAAAAGTTGTGATAACTGAAAAACAATTTAGTTTTTGTCATTAAAAAAACAATGAGTTAAATAAATAAAAAAGCTTACAATGGCTCTTCCTTCTGCTTTTAAAGTCTGCCTCAATAACTGAAATGACAATTATAGTGACACTGAAGCAGAGATGCTCACAAGTCTCTGAGCTAGAGTCCAAGTCAAGTCTCAAGTCTTTGAGCTAGAGTCCAAGTCAAGTCTCAAGTCTCTGAGCTAGAGTCCAAGTCAAGTCTCAAGTCTCTGAGCTAGAGTCCAAGTCAAGTCTCAAGTCTTTGAGCTAGAGTCCAAGTCAAGTCTCAAGTCTCTGTGCTAGAGTCCAAGTCAAGTCTGAAGTCTCTTGTGGTTATAATAAGTGTTGCATCACGTACAGCGACCCATCCAGGCTGCATAGAACACTGCATATCTATATATAAGTAATTCAAAGCATGTAATATGTTATTATGACTCCTTTATCTATTAGCATAAAGTAACAGCTTTGATTTTGGTATATAATCAGTTTAAACAGGCTATTGCAACATGACAAAAACACCATGAATGCTTTACTTTTATGTTAATATCTGTATTTTGCCGTGAAAAAAATTGTGCGATCTCTCAGCCGCGTGTGGCTCGTGATTTCCAAGCCCCCGCCATCACTTGCAGATCCATGTAGGCTAATGTGCACTGCCTACACAACTAATCATAGCTTATAAACTACTGTAAGTCAGCAACACATCCCAGACTCTCAAACCATTGTAACATTATAACTAAATGAAACAACAATTATCCTGTAACCTGTTTGCAAACAATGTTAAAGGGTTAGTTCACCCAAAAATTAAAATTCTGTCAGTATTTACTCACCCTCATGTTGTTCCAACCCCGTAAGACTTTCGTTCATCTTCGGAACACGAATTAAGATATTTTTGATGAAATCTGAGAGCTGGATCACTCCTCCATAGGCTTCTTCAGGGATTGAACTTGCCGGCCTCGAAAAGTTATTAAAGACATCGTTAAAATAGTCCAAGTGACTACAGTGGCTCAATCTTAAGTTTATCAAGCGACGAGAATACTTTTTGTGCGCAAAAACAAACAAAAATAACGACTTTATTTCAACTATTCATGTCCTTCTCTTTGGGCCTCTAGTCAGTTAACGTAGTGTGATTCCGTAGAGCTACGTCACAGTAGCTGGTCATGTGCGTGATGCATGTGACGTACAACAACAGAAGCTTACGCTATTACACTAGTGAACTGACTCGAGGCCCAAGGAGATGGACATGAATAGTTGAAATAAAGTCGTTATTTTTGTTTGTTTTTGCGCACAAAAAGTATTCTCATCGCTTGATAAACTTAAGATTGAGCCACTGTCACTTGGACTATTTTAACGATGTCTTTAATAACTTTTCGAGGCCAGCAAGTTCAATCCCTGAAGAAGCCTATGGAGGAGTGATTCAACTCTCAGATTTCATCAAAAATATCTTAATTGGTGTTCCGAAGATGAACGAAGGTCTTACGGGGTTGGAACAACATGAGGGTGAGTAATTACTGACAGAATTTTCATTTTTGGGTGAACTAACCCTTTAATAATTAACGTAATGGAAGCCAGCGGCACGTAAATTATTATGACCACCACAAGTTTGGCAATTAAACAAACGCTCATTAATATTTCATAAGGAAGACAGTCAGAGTTAACCTCCCGTTAGGGCTGCACGATTTGGGCCAAAATGATAATCACGATTATTTTTATCAATATTGAGATCACGATTAATTATCACGATTATTTGTTGATTTTAACCAAAACAAATGTTATTGTCACATAGGCTAATTATAACTGCTTTCACATTATGCTACATTCCTGCTAATGTACAACTATGTGCATCAAAATAAAACAGGTCCTCTTATTCACCAAAATTCAGTGCATCTCTTTAAAGAATAAATAAAAACAAATAAAACAATAAAGAAAATGTAGCAAAACTTCAACAGGGCACTATTTTACATTGTGTAAATATAAAATAAAAATATAAACTTGCATTGTACCTGCATAATGGATGTGAATAAAACGCACAAAATATACAATCAATAAAAAACAAATATTCCATAACAGAATGTAACCAAATGAGAACATTTCAAGGCAGAACTAAGCACTTAGCACTATGGAAGTTCGATTAATGGATGAAATTCAGAGTCATTGTTATTTGACGCTTAAGAAATGTAAAATGTTGTGGTACAGTGTCAGTTAGGGATGGCCCGATACCATTTTTTTTCAAACCGATACGAGTACGAGTATTTACATTTGTGTACTTGCCGATACCGAGTACCGATACCGATATTTCTACCGCAAAAGTAATAGGCTCCCAGAAAAGAAGACGACTATTTTAGAACACAGGTTAGAAGACTGTTTTTATTTTCTTCTCTGCTTGTTTCAACAAGTCTAAAAATAAATAAAAATTAGTAAAATAATAAATGTATTAACACACAAACCACTGTTAATTTAACATAAAAGCAAGCAGGCTACTGCGTGCATGGTCTGGCATGACTGAATGCGCGCAAAGTGCGCTCCCTTAATAAATCCTAAAAGCTGACAGTTCATCGCGATCTCACACATCTCTGTTAATTATCAATGAAGCTGACTGCACAATCAATCTTTCATAATATCCACACTTTGTTTGTTATAATTAGAGGATTTGCCAGCATACAGAATTCAGCACTGAACAAAAAAGTCCGTTTTGAGCGGTGAGGGGAGTCTATCTTAAATGCTTCTCATTGGCCATTGCGTTCCAGAAATCAACACATATGTCTGTGATTGGCTACATCGCTCAACGCTGTAACCATGTTATGAATAGAAACTCTGTCCTGTAAATCGTTTCTATTTTGTTGTAGTTGTTCTTGTTGCTTTTCTGCAAGAGATGAATAAAAATCTTTTAGTTTTTATGTTTTATTCATAGATATTTCTAGTTTGCAGGAGTCCCGCGAATCGTTTTATTCTCCCGTAACCCGCACACACAGAGTGAGTGCATTACCGCCCGCGCGCGCGCTCGGCCATCAGATCTGTGATGCGTCTTCAGATGTTTAATTAGATTGCTGGTGTTAAACGAAGTACTTTCTTTCCCTCCTCTCAACACCTTAGCTGAACATAACTCACAGTCTGCCTTGCTGTTGTCATCATCCCTTATCTTGAAATGAGCCCAAACCGCCGACATTATACTTTCCTATGCCTCAGTTCACCTCGACAAAGCACTCGCGGCGGCCAGTTTCGTTTTGCAAAATGTACGTGGTATCGGTGCGTGGTATCGGCAAATTTTTATGAGTACGAGTACGAGTATATTAGGACAGTATCGGCCCGATCCCCGATGCCAGTATCGGTATCGGGCCATCCCTAGTGTCAGTGATTAGTCTTACTGCATAAATTGAATCTTATTTAATCCTCCAAAGTGTATGTGCTTGAATTATTTCTACTTATTAAACAATAGTTCAAAACAAGAGTTTGTAGTACTGATTATTGGAGTCCATTAATCGAACTTTCATGCCATATTAATATGTAGTATGTATGTACCAATTTACTAATGCTCACACTCGGTCTCTCACGCGCACCGTCACTCGGTCTCTCTCGCGCGCAGACACAATCGGTCTCTCTCGCGCGCTGTCGCTCGTACGCAGACACACTCGGTATCTTTCGCGCACTTTCGAGCGCGCTCTTGGACACTCGGTCTCTCGTGCACTGTCGCTCGCGCGCAGACGGTCTCTCTCGCGCACTCGGGCTCATGGAGGCACGTGATCAGACAGTGGTTTACGGAGCGCTAGATTGGCTTTACAAAAAAAAAAAAAAACCTTTGATACGGAGTGTTCTGTGAATGTAATGACGCATTTTAAACATCGCTCGGTCACGCGAATTTGATCGTGGGAAGCCAAAATCGCGATCGTGATTAAAATTCGATTAATCGTGCAG